GTCCTGACAGGTAAAGAACTTCAGTTGCAGCATAAATCTTCATTTTGGATCAGCAGCCATGATTTCCTAAAGAAAACACAAACAGAGATCAAGTCAGCTGACTATATCTGTAGATCCATAATAAATCACATCATGGTAAAACAATGATTGTGATTTGCAGGATTAATACGCTCAATTTGTATTTACAGCTGTTGAGAGAAATCAATAACTAATTTGTTTACATATTTATTGCCATCAGATTCACGCAAAACTATTTCTGAAGGACATCACATCTAATAAAAGTAAAACACTTAAACCCTACAGATATACAGTTTATGGAGATCATAATCATAAATCACCTGCTCCGTGAAGCACATCCTCCTTCACTTGGTGCCGTTGTACTTGACCTCCTTCCCGCATTTCTTCAGCGTGTCCGTGAGAAACTCCACGTCTCTGTCGGACTCAATCCAGACGAGCTTCTTCGGCAGGTCGATCTCAAACTTCACATCTGAGAGAACAGAGAGGCACTTTGTCTCACTCCAGGAAGCAGCAGCGCGGGAGACGCCGTGCACTGCGCTGACACCGAATAATACTACCGAATACCGAATAATACTCACCAAAAGACCCATTGACTCTAATGTGGGTTATGAGTTATATTATTATTATTATTATATCCAGAATGTGAGCTTGTTGGCCGAGTCAACATTCAGAGACAGAGAAGTCATGAGGTGTGACGCAAGCGGCCTTTAAGCGCTTTCAAACTGTGCTCTCACTTCTGCTGGATTCTCTGAGAGGAGAGAGCTTCAGCTTCATTCATTTAACATTACACAGCGAGGCAGGAGGGGAGCACACGATGCACACTAGTGGTAGATGTTTTGCTAGTGGGAAGGCTGTAAAAATATATTATTTTACATTTGCATCTGTCTGCATTTCAGAAAAACAAGCCCAAGATGAGGCAGCTTCAAGAGTGAAACTACTAACTGGTACATCCGGTTTTTAAGCACGAGTATCGCTGAGTATTCCAGTAAATATTCAGAACTTACTTCTTTAAATAAGGTGTTTGAACAGCAATAAATGTCACTTAATAAGTGCAGTTTATAGGTGTTTCTTCTCGCCAGGGTAAGAAGGTGAGCCTCCTCACACTTACTGGCATGACAACTTTAAAGTGCTTTTGGCTTCAAGAGACAATTTTTTACGACGCAAAGGAGGTACTATTGTATTTTAGGTGTTAAACGCTGATGTAGTTGGGCTCTGAGGGGAGCACGCACCACAGTATAAGTGGATAGCATGCACGGCCAATATAAACGCCACAACACGCACACTGATATAAATATTGACGATCTCCATCATTCCTCTTGTCGGACAGCCGTCAGTCTCACCTTCCAGTTTGTTGAGGATTCTGGTCACAGCTCCGGAGCATCCCTCACACGTCATCGCCACCTCAAACTCATGCTTCTGTTAGAGACAGAGACACCTTTGACTCAAGAACATGGACGTTCTAAATAAATAGTTATATAAAATAAATGAATACAAATAAATATATGAATACAAATAAATATACATAAATACACACATATATATATATATATATATATATAGATATATTCATAAATAGATATAAATATAAATAAATATATATATACATCATGTGCTGTTATCTTAATCTGTTATAGTTTATGTAATGACTTTGTCATATTCATCATTATATTCATCGCACCCATATTTCAGGTAAAGCATGTGACGATACATAAGAGCTGCTCCAGTCACGTGTTTGCTCAATCACGTGACGAACATAATCGAACGTTAATTTACAAGCTAACGCTAACTAAAGCTATCTTGAAGGCTATAACGCAACGCGGACAGGAAGTGGTGAGTTAACTTCACACTAAAAGTAAATTAAAGCTAAAGTAACGGTAATAACTCACGGTCATGTTTGTAGTGTTGTGGTGCGACCCAGCTGTGGACTTTTGCCTCTGACTGACAAGCAAATGTTGCTCCAAAAAAAACTCCACAAATGTCCACTAACTGGTGTGACTCTGACGTTGATCAACGGAGCAACCGGATATCCGGTATGAAAAATAAATAAATAAAAGAGACCGGACATATTTTTATATTACAACGTTTTTTGGGGGCAATGAACAATTTGAAAGGGTGTACATATATTTATATACATTTATTTATGTATATAAATCTATCAAACTTTTATATATAATGTAACGTAATTACGTAATTAATAACGTAAATATAGACTAAAAAGATTAAATAAAGTTTTGTTTTGTAACGGAAGTAAGCCAGTCTCATCTCTTGCTTTTATTTTTGCTAACTTGATGCACAGCAAGCTATCTTCCGGGTAACTTGACTTTTTCTATTTACTGCACATTTCAAACCCCTTCAGTTGTATTTAGTTTATGTTCTCATAGTTGCTCGAGTAAGTTGTAGTAGAAGACAGAATAAACGGAAAGACAAACTGCGTTGACTCTAAACGCCTCAATGTAGTCCAGTGTTACGGTTCAACAAGCTACCGTGTTAACTGGCGACTTTCAGCCGAATGCGTCTGTTGTAGTTACGGCAGCTGTTGAAAGCAGGAAGACAACACGTAGCTGTCCTCGTGAGTGCCGCATTGTTTAGTTTTGCATTACAATGTCAAACCTTCTCATTTACAGTCTTTGGTCAAAACAGACCGGATTCCACGTTGGAGAGTCTTTTGAGAAAACGAGTCCACTGGAGTCTGAAACGTCGCTTGTTGTTTATGTTGAAACAGGAAGAGAGCTCGTTGCTCTTCCTTTGAAATAATAAAGTTGGTAAAAAACACATAAACGTCTTTGGAGCCTGTTTTGTGCACTGTCACGTAGAAGAACTCTGTAGCACAGTTAACAGAAGAAGACAAATACATATAAATATCAATAAATCATATTTACAGGATTCAAACTCATATCATTGTGTGGAAAAAAACTCAGCAGTCAGAAGCACTCCCACTGCAACACCATCAGTGTACTGTGTTGTCTTGTAGACTAAACTTAAACTACGTACAACACAGTCAGAAGTCGCTCCTCAGAGCAAAGGGCCACCAGAACAACTTGTGACCACACTGCGCGTTTACCACAGAGCACTCTGTGCACTTCAGAATATAACTAGTTTCCGAAATCCACAAGATTTTGGTAAGCCTTGACAATGTTTTAGCAATAATTGGGGCGACCATGGCTCACTGGGTTAAGAGGGTTGTCTGGGAACCGGACGGTCAACGGTTTGATCCTCGATCCTGTCGAAGTGTACCTGAGCAATACACTGAACCCCAGGCTCCCTGGGCCCCTGTCATTGGCAGCCCACTGCTCCCTATATACAGGGATGGGTCAAATATAGTATAATAAAATTAAAATTAAATAATGATCCTCAGAACATTTGGTAGCAAAACAGAGGTAAGTTGATGAGGGGGCGTGGCTTTTCAAAAATCACATTTCGGGACGTTAATTACAGCGCCACCATGTGGCCGATCTGAGTCATATTTCTTGAGAAGCACATGAACATTATTTCCAGTTATTGTTCCAAATTTCATTTTTCTACCTCATTCCAGCATCCCCCTCATGGGAGTTTGAGCTGAAGCGGCAGACAACAAATATGAGACAGTGGTCCTCATTCATCACACAAATAACAAAAATAATCAGTAGAATTTCAAAAGGTCCTTGAGCCCTAAATAAGAGTAAATCTGTTGTTATATGAGGCCCAATGTGAGAGGGTGTCAGACTTTAGTCTTTTAAAAGTCTTCTGGTGTT